GCCTGCGGGGGCCTCATGCAACACGCCGCGCCGCCAGGACAGCCTGTCCACGCGTGACGTGCAACGGCGGCGCCCCACCGTAAATAACTCCCGTTCCCCGGCTGAACTGCCCGTACCTGAAAACACTTTGCTTTGCATTGTTTCTAATAAAAGAGTCTCTTTTAAACTCCTCACTTTTCGAGGGGCTGACAGGGGAGCTTGGGGCCTGCCGGAGAATACCGGAGGTGAAGCCCATGCACCACTGCATGGGAGGAACGACTTGTCCTGCACCAAAGCGGAGCGGGGAGAAGTGGGAAGGCCATAAACTGGGGTTCACGCTGCCTTCTGCCTGCCCGCCCCTCAAAACCTGAGCACTCGGGATTAACCTCAGCCTCGGTGCTTTAGCATCGCCTGGGCGCAGCGCCGATAGCAGGAATACCTACCGGTGGTAGAGCACTCGCGGCAGCATCGCCAGCAGGCGTCAGGGCAGCGGAAGGGTCTCATGGCCGTGGAGGACATGCCGTGGAGTCATATAGCATCTCTCCTGCATGACCTGCGGGGAAAGCAGTGCCAAAGATCACAGGGCATGTTGTTGCACAGTTGCGTGTTTACGTAATCTCTTTGCATGAAATAGCTGCCCATCTTCCCTAGTTTACCGGTTTGCTTGGCCATTTGTCTCCATTTTGTCTTCGTCTGTTAAGAGGATGTCGGAGGCCCGGGGATCTTAGTTCCCCTTGTGCGCCGCAGCCCCTGGGGCGAATCCGGACAGTTTCTCAGCGAGGAAGCTGTCCCCTGCCTGCGTCCCTCCGCCTGTCTATTGTGCTTCACACACAGGACATGCACTTCTGTTTTCACAACTTCAGTTGGCCGGGGAGGTTTTACTTTTTGGTGAAGAAACACGCCATGACCCTGCACTCCCAGAGTGGAATTCGGCCTGCCCGCAATACCCAACTGGGGGATCCTCTTTCTGGGGGATCCTCTTTAACCGCCTTCGCTGCAGCCCCGACCCCTTTCCGGGGAGCAGCTGCTGTGGGGGTGCAGGGAAAGCGCTTGGGGGAGCCGGTCCCTGCCCCTTCGCCTCCCCAGGATGGTGCCAGCACTTTGCCTCCAAACATTTGTTCCCGGCCACGTCGCCCGAGCCGCCCGGCCCTGCCCAGGAGCACGGCCTCCCAGCCCTGCGCAGCACCCATGCCTCCGGCATCCTCGCCCTCCCGGTGCCGCCCGGTTGGGGTGGGCTCGGTGAAGGGGTGTCCCCCCCCCCGCTTTCAGCACGGGG